TTTTTCAAATATTTCTTCTATGGTTTCTTGTACGATATTCCTTGTACATCTATATCATATGATAATTTTAGTCCAATATCTCATCTTCTAAATTGCTAAATATTTCCAAATTGTCACTAACGAGATGTGAATATGTAATCGTTAAGAACACATTATTTTTACCAGACCCATGCCTTATAAAGTGTACAAGCGTATCATTCTCTATAAAAAAAAAATGTGACTTAATTGGTGGTTTTCCATTCGATGGTACGATATCGGCCCGGCTGTCGAGGATGCAAAAATGTATGAACTGTATAAAATATACGGAATGTGTTTCCATTTACCGGCGCCGAAGCCGGCACGGTAATAACTCCCACCGGTGCCGTCACCGGTGTTGGAACAGGAAGCTTTCCGCTCGATGCCCGCCGATTAAACTGCCCGTGTATTGGGTAAGTATTGTAGCCGTGTGTGTATGCGTGTGTGCGACGCGATCTTGTCGGCGAATGGAAAAGTGCTCAATCAGTTATATACAAGTAAATAAGTGTTAAATCTTACTCGCATTAGAATAAGCTTTATACGTGGTAGAGCCATGCTGCAGATAAATTTTATGGTATTGGCACGAATAGGTCGGCTCAACCAAGGTAGCTCTTACAGAGTAAAGTAAAGTAAGTAAAGTTACAGCCTATATACGTCCCATTGCTGGGCTCAGGCCTCCCCTCATTTCTGAGAGGGTTTTTAGGGCAAGGAAGTGTTCGCCGCGCTGCCCAAATGCGTGTTGACGAACTTCACATGTCTTCGAAATCTTTTTTTTTTCTTATTCCTCAGACATGCAGGTTTCCTCACGATGTTTTCCTTCACCGCCGAGCACGTGGTAAATCAGCACTTAAAATTGCAATTAACAATTTCATTGGTGCCGGCGGGGATCGAACCCGGGTTACTCGCGTTCTGTTATATTTACAGCGAGCGTTAATCACTGAGCTACCACGGCTTTTCTTACAGAGTAACAACGTAAAATAGCAGCTTAAAGCTGCTGTGTTTTGTATGGTGAGTGTCAAGGAACGGAAACCCTTTTTACTGGAAACGAGGCATTCCATCTTAGTCCTCAGGGGTGACAATGCATCAGTTGATTCTTAATCGAAGATCAATGTATATATATATATATATATATATATATATATATATATATATATATATATATATATATATATATATATATATATATATATATATATATATGAGCCACAGCATCTACTAAACATGTGGTAAGTGGTGTGGTCATCCGTTTTGTTAGTTCGTTCATCCTTATTCTATATAAAATAAAATTTTTTGTGATTTGACTTGTGTTGAAATATTTTTTTATAATAAAAAACAATTTTTTTGCATTGTTTTTCTAGCTAGTTACATATACACATAAAAATCTAAATATTAGATATTATATTTATATATTTCAAATTTATGTTTACAGTCTATTTCTTTGATAGAGATAGATAAATAAAGACAATAGAGTCACGTACGATATTAGGTATTTACCATCGAACTGATGTAGTGGTGTATTATTCAGAAGCTTGCCAGAAGCGTTTGCCAATAAAGTTTTGCCAAAAATTTGCCGGGAAATGGAAGAACTACTTAAAACATTTATAGGTAGTGTATATATATCTACATATAAAGTACAGCGATAAAAAAAAGTTATAAGAACACTAAATTCAGTACCTTAGTTTCTTTTTTTAATTAATTTCGCCTCTCATTTCAAAATTTTACTACCTTCTACTTAATAACTCTCACATAAACTGTCAGCTAATTAAAGACATTTTGTTCAGCTTCGAAATATGTTATGTCAGCAAAAAAAGTGAATTGAGATATTTTTATTCAACATTCACATCAATTTTACTATTTTTGTACCAACGTATTCGTATTCATGTACTTTTGGCTATTTTGCAGGCGGCTTTCACGTCCATCTGTTCGCTAAACGCACACTCTTCGTTAATCTGGATGGAAACCTTCCGGGACTCATCCATGAAAATGACGCCCTGGATCATTGGTGATCGTTCAAGCCAAATGTTTGTTTGCCTATTGTAATCTTTACCTGCAATTGCCACGTCGTAGGTTTGGAATTCGAAGTGGCCTACATAATGGCGGACTCCGTGCGTATCCTTTTTAAAATTTGATCGCACACTAGGACCGAGTATTCCGACTCCAACTTCAAGAGCATTTGGCTAGGCTAAGCGTTAGATTATCTTTTGGACTTGTTTTGTAAAAATAAGTCTTGTCTTGCGGTAGTTACTAGACTACTACTAGTTTGACAACAAATAATGCTGTGATCAATGAAGACATTATTACGATCAATCAACAGCTTTTAACCTATATAAGATCTATGTCTTTAATTTTTTTTACATGCGGATTTTGAAGTTTGTTAGGGCTTTAGACAAGTCTAAATTGAATACAATAGTTTTGGCTTCAACTTTGAATCGCCAGATTCTCGTTAATAAATCAGCAGAGTGTGTCTCGTTGATGAGATTATCATTCGGACAAATAGTTCAAATACAAAGTGTATTTGAACTGTTGGACTGGACAGACATTTTGGACAGACTAATATCTAAAATGTTTTAGTCATAAGTACAACACGTTTTTATTTAATTATTAAAACATATTTTATTGAGAAAATAATGCATCCTTCTAGCCAATGTAAATAAAATAATAATATAAGTGTTTAAAACGCTCAAACATAAGTGATCCTGATAATTATTTTATATTATCCTGGTGATCCTTATCAGGATTCTAGGATAAAGTTATTAAATTATTGTCATAGTTTCGTGATACGAGTGCAAGTTTTCAAGTATATCGGCCGTCTACAAGTTGGTGAAAAGAACATTAAAAGACTTCGTTACATGGATAAATAAGATAGATGATATGAGGTAATAAAAGTGTGTGGTAAACGTTGCTTATTTATCTGTCGAATCAAGTTTCAATATTATATTTTATCGATTTTGATATATATATATATATATATATTTTCGAACGCTTTTATAAGCTGATTTAAATTTGAGGGCATATAAATTCTGCCAGCATGTAATAAAACAGTGAGACGTATTCATCTCTCCGTAGCCCTCTCAGAATTGAGATGAGGCCAATAGCAAGCAGCTAGCAAGCGGCTGGAATATTATGTATCTTTAACTTTTTAAACAACTTTTCTAAATTACAATTTAACTTACTTTATCCGTGGTAGAGCCATGCTGCAGTTATATTAGTAGTATTGTTGTAACACTAATGGGTCTGCTCGACCGGGGAAGGACCACGCTCTCACAGAATACCAGCGTAAAACAGCAGCTAGATGCTGCTGTGTTTCGTGTGACTTGAGTATGTATCGATGGAATCGAGGCATTCTATCTTGGACCTCAGGGACATCAACCCTTGATGTTGATGTCTATGAGCCACAGCAACCACTTACCAACAGATGGACTGTGTGCTCGTTTGTCACCCTATCCTGTAAATAGCAAGATTTTTACACAAACCCAAAATTCTCATTATTTTCGCATCTGAGGATCAGTGTCAATGTGCGAGACGTCTGGTACTGCGTTCATCAACCCCCCTCAACAAATCCTTTTCTCAAAGGGAGAGGTCCATGTCTAGTTCTTGTATACCCGATGGGTAGAATGAAGAAAAAACACAGCATTTAGAAAATTTTGGATGTAATTTATCTAATGTATGATTGCAATTTAATAAACTTTTTTTGTGTTTAATAAATGTAAGTCTTACTTAAATTTCAGTGCGACTGATCTATAAATGTCATTTTTCTTTAAGTAAGCTATGTTCATGCATTATCTGTTTTACACCATCTCGCACCATCTGTCTGTTCCCTAATAGCGGTTTGACCGTACTAATTAATACTCGTAAAGTAATAAAAGGAGTCCATTTGAGATGATTTATAAGACTCCCTACGAACCATATTTTTCTATGTTCTAAATTAGCCTGCGGTAATAAATTCTTCAAAGAGTAACGTAAGCGATTGTTACTGCGTAAATATTCCATCTATTTCAAATATTCATTATATCCTTTAAAAGTTCAATTTTTCTAGCCAAACTTGATTCCCATTCAACAGATAAGAAACTGCCCTAAATACGCAAACTCTTACGAGTCACCATTTTGCTATTAATTAAAAAATATTTGAAATAAAAACTAAAATCCATTGCTTACCGACAATTAAGTACCTATTAACATCGACAAAATGAATGAATTTAGGTATCTATTTTATACCTCATCCTGCAACCAAATGAAAAATAAAACTATAATCAACCGAGAAAAACCTTTTTACTTACTTTTTAAGTAAGTTAAAAGTATTCTAACAATAAGAAAACAAAAAAGTATTCAGCGTTTAAAATAATTGACACCTAAATACTCAAATACCATGTATGTAAACACCATGTAGGGGAGACTGGGGCTGGTCGTGACATTTTTTTTATAAAGTGTCGTAATTTTTTGTTTGTTTGATTGTTTTACCGGAATGTAGGTTTGTTTGATTAAGTAACTATTCGGGTTATTAATTTAAAAAGATTTTAGGTATCAGACTATTAGAAGTGACATAAATGAATGAATTCTAGGAAAAGAGGCGTGTAACTTTCAGCCCCGCGCCAGGGGCTGGTTGTTACACTATAAGGGGCAAAATGTTACAACAAAAACCAAACGTAATATAACACTTTTTATTAAGAACAATGACAGTTTACTACAATTATTATGTCTACAATGTCAAAATACAATATCTATATAGCAGTCTTTTGCCTCATTATAACAAAAACAGTAACTTCGTTGAACAAAATTATAATCTTATCTTTTAGTCTTACAACTCATAAAAATAAAATTTAGGTAACTTCCAACCCGGTAGAAAATTATAAATTTCTTTATCAAACAAAAACTTAGTATGAATTAACAAAACATTTATTATGCCTCATCACATGAACAAAAAATAAATAAAGTCTCTCTTTAAAAAAACAATCAGATCCTAAAAGCTAAAAAACAGTTCAGTCACTTTAGTCTGAACAATCACTTTCACAATTCAAACATATGTAGGATATAACATTACCCTTAGCACATCTTACGTGTGACCATTTCTTACAAACAACACACTGTACCCATTCCTCACCAGCTCGACTTTGATCAAACGGTTCACAACATATCAGGCAAAAATAATCATCTACACTTCCTTCGTCAGACTCAGAGTCATGTAAGACCTTCCTTTTCACAGCAATCTTCCTTGTTTCCTTAGGCGTTTTTTCTCTCTTCATCTTTCCTGGCTCAGTTGACTTCCCTTTCTTAGTTACCTTTCTATTTTTTGATGTAATTTCCTTTTTCTTGCTCTGTTCTTGTGCCAATACATTTTTTTCCGGCGTATCCGTTAAAATAGCTGATTTGCGAGTTTTTCGTGTTACTTTATTTGTTCTTACAGCAGCTTTTGGATAAGGCCGAATGGTATCGGGAGAAAAAGTCGTACATTCATTGTGAAACAGATCTCTGCTACAACCAGCAACTGAACCATAAAGGGAGCTTTCGCATTCTTCTGCAGCATCTACTACTTCAGTTGCCTCTTCAATAAATCCAGGTATAGGAGGTATAGTATTATCTTTGGAGGAATGTGGAGGAGTTGGAGATAGAGTCCCAGGGAAATTAATTGGAGTAATCTCTGTTATAACAGGCGTGTTTTCAAGATTTGAGTTAGCAGTTTCGTCTATTGGTCTGTCAGTAACAAAAGCAGACAAGAAATCATCTTCCTGAAAAATATCTTTATTAAATGGTACAATACCAGTCTTTTGAAATCCGTTGATGATGTTAGCCGGATTTAGCGCTAAGGGCAAAGCTTTACTCACTATAGATGGAATATTGTGAATAGTCATTGTCTTACCCGGATTGTTTCTAAGCCAAGCATCTTGCTGGCTGGCACAGTAGTTTTTAAATGGTCCATAGACCCCCACATCCATGGGCTGGAGTTTATGAGAGCAATGTGGTGGGAAGGACAGCAATACCACATTGTTTTCTTTAGCTGTTTCGACGACTTCAATATCCAAGTGCGAAGAATGATTATCCAATAATAAGAGCACAGGATTGGATGGAGATGGTTTTACATTGTCTATGAAATGTTTCATGAATGTTTTAAATTCACCCCCAGTCATCGTAACTCGATTATAACGGCAAACTCCCTAAAATGTCGAAATCACTTAGCTTTGGTTGATTTAGCTTGTATTTCATACAAAGATACACCCTATATACCAATACAGTTTCTCTCAACAATGATAACAATTAAATAATGAAAAGTACTTATTAAGTTGCACAAGTTAGTAGAAATTGCACAGCTGTGTACGTTCTTTTGTTCTTTTGTCGCTTTATTATCTTAGCCCGTAATAAACTCAACTGTCAGCATACATACCACCATACTCTCATACATAACAAACTCTAAAAATCCGTTGTTTTCTTTACAAATTAGGATTGCTTGCACAATCATGTAGACTGTTATTAGTAGGAGTCATGGATCTTCTATACGTTTTAGAAAAAGTTAAAGTTATAGCGTTCAAATAACAATTGTTTTTATGTAATTAATAACATTGGTCTGAAATAAACTTTTTCGTTTTCTAATACAGATAACGTCAAAATATGCACTATTTGATTTTTTTTTCATTTTATTTATTGAGTATCGTTATATATAATTTACACTGTATTTAAAATATTTATTTTATCTTAACAACTTAAAATATAAATACTATATATAGACACTTAAAATTGTTAAATTGTATTGTGAGGGAAAATAGTACAAAAAATTTCCACTATTATCTGTCAACGACATGAAAAAGAAAAATCGAGGAGAATTTGACTACCGATTCGATACAAACAACCAATCAAATTTAGTTTTTGTGATGGCTTGAAAATAGCGCTTGCACTATGGGTACAAATTACGACTTTGTTTACCCTCTGGGCAATGCAAGAAGATGAAGCTCTGCAGAAGGAAGAAGTGAAGTGGACATTTCTTTCGTGTTAAGAACTTTAACAAAGGCATTGGTGGAGTTGATCAAGCTGATCAGTCAATCGCAATATATAAAACAACTATACGAGGCAAAAAATGGTGGTGGGTTATGTTTACCTACTTGCTCGATATGACTGTAGCAAATGTTTAGCGTCTCCATGTTATGACCACTGAAAACAAACTAGAGCAGCTCCAGTTTAGCCTAAGTATCGCCCGTTTTCACTTGACGGCTGTCACAGATAGACCCGATGGAATCGTAATCCTTCTTCAATAGTGCTTAGTATGAGTCTTGATGGTGTTGGACCCCTCTCTCAGGAACTGCCAAGCCAGCTACGATGCGTAGAATGTCACATGAAAGCACGTTGGCAATGTAAGAATTGCATCAAAACATTTTGCATCGAAAAAGAATGTTCTGAAAAATTCCACACATAAACCCATTGGCCCCATTTGAGGACGGAGTTTTTTTTATACAGAAAGCAGTTTTTTTTTTTTTTTTTATTTTTTGTAATAAAATCTCTTAATGGTCTCTAGTAGTTACGTCAGTAAAGTTTTTTTTCAAAAATATTCTTGGTTTGTAATTGGGTCCAAATGGTTTAAGCTGCTATTTTACGCTGGTATTCTGTGAGAGCGTGGTCCGTCCCCGGTCGAGACAACCCATTCGTGCTACAACCATAATATAACTGCAGCGTGGTTCTACCACGTTAAAACAAATCCTCAATCCTTAAATTAAAGTTGGCGCGTTGAGGCCAACAATTTTACATGTAGCGGAAGCTGTGCAGGAATAGAGTCAGTGACAGTGTGTGCCATCAAAAAGAACTAAATGTGATTTAGTCTCCTCGTGATACCTAATTATTTTAAGATTATATAGTCTGTGTAAATAAAATATCATCTATTGATACCGTAAGCAAGACCACCCCCTATAATATTCTCTTATATTTTTTGGTATCGTTTGAAAGTTCGTGACGCACTTTGATATTAAATTGGAAATTGTTATTGTGACGATTTATGATTTTTTATAACTTTATGCTAGCTAAGATTGTCCCCTCTAAACGTTACTCCATTCGTTATCGGTTACTAACGGGAAAGTTTTGTGTAATTTGAAAGATAATCTTTTACCAGAAATAGTAAAAGGTTTACATTTCCTTTCCTGTTTGAGAACTTTTGACTTCCACTATAAAATAAATTTTCATTAAAACTAATAATCTCGGTATCAGTAAACGAAAATAGATCCAATGAGCGTTTTATTTTACTTGCCAGGCTTTTATGGACAAGAATAGTACGAGAATTAAATTTACTCCTAAATATAAATCAGTCGTATTTGTACTAATTGTTATTTGATTAATGCAGCCGATTATTTTGTTTTACTTTATATATATATATATATATATATATATATATATATATATATATATATATATATATATATATATACCGTAATTTGTTACGCGAGTTGATCGCAATACCAGACGCACACACACACACTTGTGTTTGTGTGTTTTCAACTTTTTAACTAAATTTTCGGAATGATAATTTAACTTATCAGCTCAAATCGAAAAGTTTCATTACCGTCGCACCTGAGGACCAGCGTCAAAGTGTGAGACGTCTGGTATTGCGATCAACTCGCGTAACAAATTACGGTAAATCCTTCTTACAAAGGGAGAGACACCCATGTCCACTTAGTGATTATTATGTGATGAGGAAGATGAGGAAGAAAACACAGGAAATCTCTTGATTAATATTTCGAAAAAACTTTAAATGTTGTTTATCTATTTTAGTAAATATTTTTTGTGTTAATTAAATGTAAAACTTACTAAAATAAAATTTTAATGTGACTTATATACTCGAGAAATGTCATTTTCCTATAAGCGAGCTATGTTCATGTATTATCTGCTTTACAAACACCCTCGCGCCATCGGTCTATTCCATAAAAGGTGTTAGACCATAATAACATCCGTAAGGTAATAAAATGAGTCCATTTGAGATGATTTATAAGACTCCGTACGAACCATTCTTTTCTTTGTTTTAATGCTGCCTGCGGTAGTAAATTCTTGTCTATAATCCATTAATGCAATAACAACAAAACGATTGTTAATGTTTAAATCTATTCTATCCATCCATCACAGCTTCGATACTGAACATATGCCTCCCTTATAGGTTGTCTAAAAGGGGGGACTTTGCCATAGTTTCCACACTTGGCAAAACCGATTGCCAAGCGTACATTTTTTATTATTTTATGTTGTTATCAGGATGATGCTGCAACCTATCTCCAATTTTAGTTTCCCTATGTCGCCTTTTAAAACTCTTACTGGACTATATGAGCTGATGGATATTCTTACACCGCCTGTACAAGGTGAGTACCAGTGTAAATAAAGGAGAAGTACTTTTTACTTACTTACTTTTTGCATGTGACGTCTTCAAAAAGCGAATGAGGTTTTGGTGTCAGACAGATAGCGGTATATTTATTCAAGAATTTTAAACTTAAATGATTACTTCATTGAGAAAACCGTCGTAGCTAGATATAGATTGAGAAATTAAAAATAAATATTTAAAAAGTACAGTATGCATGTACGAGTAGCTCGTCCACACGTACAGTATTTACACAGATTAAGGTATAAAATAAGAATTAATAGAATAAAAAAATATTCTCGCTGGGTTTCTTGCTGGTTCTTTCCAGGACAAGGGATTTTTCCAAACTAGTAGTAAAAGTAAAAATTATTTCGAATAATTATTCTTGTTAGTTTTATTAAACCCCTAAAAAATCAGAGGGATGTCTGTGGTAACATATCTCCTGAAATAATGAACCGATTTAGAAAAAGTTTTCTTCGTTTGAAAGGTATCATAATCGAGTGTTCTTAGCTATCTTTCAAGAAAATTTGTTCAGCCGTTTGAAGATCCTGAGCTCTGTTTGTTTTGGAGGGTTTTAAAATTTTTAAATTTAAGTTATTGAATCATACTCATTATATTGTATTCTATTTTCTCATAAATGTGAAGTGTGTAATTCTTTGAAATCAAAATATAAAAAAATAATATTGATGTTAAGCGAGTGTACTTTTGTGCTGAGCTTTAGCCATCTCTTACAGTCACCGAGAAAAACCTGTTCAGACCTAGTTCGGTACATCATGCGCTTAAAAATATTTGATGACGTAGTAGCAACTGTTAAATCTACTTATAATATTTTGAATGCTAGAATTTATCTGAGGCGATCGTAGTAACCCAAATAAATTTATTTATCCGAAGTAAAATATTATTTTAACAGATTTCAAAATGGAAAAGTTTCTGAATTCGGCTGCAGTTTTTTAATGTATGTTACGCGTTGTTTTCGTTAATATAGAACCGATTGTGATGATTATTTTTTATTCAATATGTAGCGAGTTTTATAGAGCGCGAGAGTTTTATTTCATACTGTTCTCATTTCTGGGCTGGGGCACCCCAGTGCCAGCTCCTTCCACTCCACTTGATCTCAACCCGCGCAGAGCAATTCAAATCATCGACGACCGAGATCTTTCTGATTTTATTGACTCTCTACTCTTTACTCGAACGGCTACAACGTGAGGCTGTTCCCTCATCGGATGAAAATGTAGCATTTTTCATCCGATGAGGGATGAGGGCTGAGGATGCGGCACCACAACTTGCAGAGCATACGCCAAACGTGGATGCCGCCGTGAATACCCCAGTTGTGGTTGATTCAAACGATGATGGAACAGTCGCCTAGAAACTGAAACTAGAGCAACTATACTTTTGATAGCAGAGAAAGAAGGAAGTGGGAGAAAAAAAAAACACAGAAACGAAATTGTAATCACTCTACCTATAAAAGTAAAGTAAAGTAAAGTTACAGCCTATATACGTCCCACTGCTGAGCACAGGCCTCCCCTCATTTATGAGAGGGTTTTAGGGTGGGGAAGTGTCCGCCGCGCTGCCCCAATGCGTGTTGGCGAACTTCACATGTCTTAGAAATATTTTTTTATCTTATTCCACAGACATGCAGGTTTCCTCACGATGTTTTCCTTCACCGCCGAGCACGTGGTAGATCAGCACTTAAAATTGCAATTAACAATTTCATTGGTGCCGGCGGGGATCGAACCCGGGTTACTCGCGTTCTGTAATATTACAGCGAGCGTTAACCATCTGAGCTACCACGGCTCTACCTATAAACATATACAATAAAGTCGGTAAGTACCATAGAATACTATAATACATACATATTAGAACGGGGAAGTGGGCGGAGTCCACGTAGTCACTAAAATGTCACGTCAATTCACACGTATAAATGTCAACTCGAGATGTGTTTTGACGTTACAATCGATTCCAAATTTCGCATGCAAATTATTTAGAAAATGTCAAATTGCACCTTATTTACAAATAAATATGTATTAAAATTTAAACGAGTTTTTTAATGATGATCTTGAACATTAATCAAAAGTCTAAAATGTGTAAATTTATTCAGTCTGTCAACGCAGCGAAATGGGGTTTGGTGACGCCAAGCCTCGTACAAAATAAAGTTGACAGCTATTTTATTGTGTATTATTCTATGCTAAGTACAATATCCCCTACCCCATACATCCCGTGGGTGTCGTAAGTGGCAACAGAGAGAAACTAAACGGGAGATTGGTAGCAGTGTGTTTCTTATAACAACTCAAATGAACACAAAAACTAGTCTACCAAGCGTTTTGTTAGTCTGTAATGATTATGATGAAAAATAGGAAATTGAATACCGTGTAGTAATGTATGTATAATGTATAATTTTAGTAATGTAGAGTCGGTAAGGTGTTTAAAAATGTTTAGTAATGTATGTAGTATGGCGAATTTAGTACATCCTAAGATTAATGTATTATGTACTGGCTTTACATCCGGCTTCGTTTGAGGAGAACTTAAACAAAAATCTGCAGATTTGCAATAGTGATCTTAAGGAAAGTAGTTCAATTATCAAAAAACCACTTTAAACTAATTTTTTGCTATTATCTGAGACTAAAAACTATATAAGAAAAAAAATTAGTGTGCTAA